ACATATTTTAAGATAGAGATGGCGATTTTCCTACGTCAAAACTCGTTAGTCCTTTCGTACAAAGCTCGTACAAAGCTTTTGCGCGAAAACTGAAAGTATTTCGTCCAAGGAATCCAAGTCACGCGAGGTGTCGTAATCACGCATCCATCCCGGTGTAACTCGCATTATATAATAGATCGCGGATATTTCGCACGCGATTACGCGAATAATCGTTCGGGCCTTGAGCACGCCCGCGTCTTTTCGTTCATAATATATGGATAGAGTTACACGCGTTGTAATTTAGCAACCTGATTTCCGCACCGTTACGGTACCACCACATTCGGCGGCGGGGCGCCATTCGACGAGCGCGGCCGTAATTATCGATAAGCGTCAAAGTTACAAAAATAAATTTGATCTTTATTGGGCGTGGGAAATCAATATTTCTAGCTTCTCGCGACCTTAAGAACCGTGACGTTTAATTATCGACCCCGTCGCGTATCGCGGGCGTATCGCGTTGAATCAACTCGGAAAAAGTGACGAATTCCTCCGATCGATCGAAATATCGATTACCATCGATTATCGTTCATCGCAAATACGCGCGAGAGCAAAATGCATCTTCACGCGATCCGAATTCCGGCGAATCACGCCGCAAAATATGATCTATGACGCGCCGTTATTACATAGCCCACGGCACAGTCACGGTCGTTTTGTGCGTTCGCGTGAATTTCAATGACCTCATCGTCGAGCAACGCTAAAAAACCGAGCGAGTAGCGATTTCGCAAACAGGCAGGCGTTCGTCTCGTAAGAGAAAACGATAAAATACGATAAAAATGTAGGCATGAATGGAGAAATTAATTGAGAAAGCAAGAATGACCTTTCGCAGGAATCACGATTCGTACGCGGTACCGTCGTCGATACCATCGTCATTAGAGACTTCGTCATTCCTTTTGCGAGTTTTCGTTTCGTTGGGGCATGCGATACTTTCACTCGTATATACATATACTTTTCGGCCGTGATTACTATAAATTAACGGCTTAAACGCGAGACTTGCCTCGCATGGAAACGACGAGGATTAAATTTTCGCGATACATTTTCCATAAAATAAGATGCGGAATCATATTTCTTTTTTATGTAAATAACCATCGCATTTCGCATAGAATAAAAAGCATCTTTCTGCAGAATATTGTAAATTGTAAAATAGATGTCAAATTTAATTCGGCCAACTTGGAAAATGCGAAAAAAGAACTTTTTAATTTAAATTAAATCTCTTTCGCGAAAAGCTGCTCTCTCTCTCTCTC